CCCCAAAACCCCAAAACCCCAAAACCCCAAAACCCCAAAACCCCAAAACCCCGGAGTTAATGTCAATGGTTGAATGCAGTATCATTAGACAATATATTAATAAGCTTAATATATTTAAGAACCTTAGCAAATATAGTAGAAGTACTGCTTTTGCAAATTATTTATTTTATTAGTAAATAAGCGAGGATCAATCCTTGCAGATTTGGAGCTTGCTATTGATTAAGTAAGTATTATCAGGCTTTGAATTTAATTAGAAGTCAGGAAAATGCTCTTTCAGAACACAAATATACCTGATTTAGGAAAAAAAGTGAGAGAGGTCGTTAATTTATTGACTCAAACTGCTCTGGATTGTTTATCAAATATATAGGATAAGTCTACCAAAGATGCTATGTTATTATAGAAGCCAAATTTTAATGCTTCAATTATTATCTTTAGCACAGAGAGAATCTTAAAATAATACTCTCTTCTATGAATTAGTTATCAAATAGATTGTAAAAATGTTACAATTATGCTTCAAGGAATCATATTACAAAACAAGTTAATCGGCGCCCTCTATCCCTTCTACCAATGAATCGTAGTTTCTCTTGAAGTTGATCATAGAACTCTGCTTTATCAGGAAGGATTTTGGGATATTCGTTCCTTCTATGAAGCTGTCAAATCTACAAATTAAATTAAACTATTACTCGTCTTCTTCGTTGATTACTGATCTCTCTCCTAGATATCTTAGTTTATCACAATCCACAGTTTTAGCAGTAAGAATTTTTCGCATTTCATGATTCTTTTCTATTTCAATAAAGGTGTCCAGGAGAGAGCAAATATCAATTGTGGTTCATTTCTGCCTGAGAGGTTCAGAATATCTATATCTTCTGGATGTGGTAATATCATCATCTTCCAATATTTTTAATTCTACTGATCCTGATCCAGTTCTTCTACACCAATCAGAATTAAGACATACTTTTCAATGTATTCGTAATTTTTGGATGATCCTGCAGCTGTCCTTATACTGGAATTCTGAGATTTTAGAATTCCTCCCGATTTGTTTGGAATCTGTGCGTAAAAGTTAGGCTGGGTTAATTTAGAATTTTGTTCAAAGAAAATAAATTTAAGAAGCACTGTATTAATGTCTTCTCTTCTTAAACATAAGAGGTTAACAGATTAGTTCGAGATAAGGAACATCTTAGTGCAATTTAATACTTTCTTGAGAAACACTTTCAGACTCACCATTTTGAGATTGTCAATGGAATATCACGTTGGGACTGCCTCAACAGAGTTATCGATACAAAATCTTTTGATTTGGTTATATTGGTCTAAAATCCATTTTTCATCACTTTTTATTAGGAAATTCTTAAGCTTGTTTCTCCAAAATAAAGCTCTGATATCATTTTTCTTTTTAATCATTGACTGCATATGAATACCTTTAGCTATTCTTTTTAAGCTAGTATGTTCTATTGGTATCTTAGTCTCTCTTTCTTCATAAAAGCTAAATCCATCAACTATTCTCTTGAATCTTTTAGAGTCGAAGAAGCTGAGATCTTTCTCATAGTGAATTCCTAAACAGACTTGGTTGATGTGCTCCTGAATGCATAAGTGCTTATACATTTCTTTGATAACTAGTTCAACTGGAACCTGAATTATTGTGGTGTGTTCCTTCTTTGATTTCTTCAGGTAATCGTCTCTCATTATCACCAGAGTCATTTTTAGAAGTTTGAGTGTGGTAAGGCTTATCCCTTCTTTTATCGGATTTCCAACGTTAGCTCCAGTTGTGCTTTGATTGACTGGATTTCTTTGCTGATTATCACCTTGAGTGTTTAGTCCTCCCACTGGTTCTCCATACATTTGATTGAACTTGGAGTAGTCAATACTACCATCTTTGAGGGCATTTATATGAGCTATTTTCTCTTCCTCGTTCTCTTCAATAAGTTTGATGTTTTCAGAGAACAGTTTAAAAGTGTATGTAGCTGTATTCCACACAAGAAGGATGAGAAGCCAGAAAAATCCAATGAATACTATCACAATGAGGTCTAGAACTCTGTACAAGAAATCTGATTTACCAAAGAATGGCTTTTTGAATCAATATTTTAGCTTGTTAAGAATCAAAATTGCATATGATATAGGCAGTAGGAATACGCTAACTGCAACAAAGATAACAATAGAAAGAAGAGCTAGGATAATATACTCAAATAATAGGCAAGCATAGTTGAGCTTCTTTGATTTCAGACAGATGATGAATGGGTCCATTACTAATGCAAAGATGTTTAAAGGAACAAATGCTGATACAATTGAGGAATATTTTGGATTGTAGCAATATCTCTGCCTCAGATAAACCACTTCTCTAAGATATAGAGCATTCTTGTTCTCCCAAATAATAGTGTATGTATTCGAAAGAATAGCAATCAAGAAATTTAGCAGGGTGATTGTTGAGACAACTAAATATGTCAAGAGGAAAATATATCCAATATTCTTAGTAAAGTTAGTCTCATTGTCAAATACAGAGAAATCAAAATCACCAAGACTTGCTCCGAATAGAGTTAATGAGCAATTTACAAAACTATCATATCCATCAATAGTATGGAACATCAACTGAGAAGCACAGGTGAAAATCAAGAAAACCAAGAGATACATGAAGATGAATAGTGACAAATCAACAAGCATTTTCCCAAGTGTCTTCACCATCGGTCCGAATGTTCGACTCATTTGAAGAGCAAAAATCATTCTTGCATACTGGATACTTGTCAGGAAGGCAATGGACAACTCAAGGTCAAAGTATCTATCACTGTTAATTCTATCAATAATAGTTTTTACTTTTCTTCTAGAGTCAATATCAGCCAGATCGACAGTGTATTCGTATAAGTACTTATAGAGCCAATAGAGCACCAGCAGTGAAGTCAAGATGTTTAAAATAAGAGACAGCGATATCACTTTTGTATAGACTCCTCTCAGTCTAGAGTAAATTATTTCTTGGAAGTCTTGGAACAAATATGCTATTGTTAGAATATGAATCACAAGCAGCAATGTAATGTATTCGTAGTAAATAGCAGTAGAAGCATCAAGATCGTCAGCATACTGATCCAAAAGCTGATTTTTCTCTTTTGTTCCAAGAGTAGTGTTGGCAGTTGTTTCGGTAATCTGTTCATCGATTGAATTTGCATCTTTGATTCTACATAGTTATTATCCAAAACTTACTGTCTAATTAGGAGCACAGAATAAACCTGCATTATTACTGCTAACATGAAGGCAATTACAGCGTTGAATGTATATTTTACGTCTAGGGATTTCTTCCAAACTACAAATTGAAATAAATGGCCTAAGTAAACTCTCTTTGTTTTATCGCTTGCTTCATTAGCTTTTATCTCTAGTCGTTGGGCAGAATCATCACTCTCATCGCTGTCATATTCATATACATTTTTAGATTTCTTCTTCTTAGTTCTTTTTCCCTGTCTGAATGCAAAAATAGTCATTTTTGAGGCTGCAGTTGTATCCTTTCCGGGGAAAAAGCTCATTTCATTTTGAATAACCTGGACAGGCATACTATCTTTTAAGAAAGATCCTCTCTGGTAAGGGCCGTAGTACATGTTTGAAATTATGACGTCAACTACTGGATTTTGGAGAATAGGCACTCAATTTAGATAAGCAGCCATGTCAATGATCTCTATTCCATTATAGAGCTTGTCGAGGAGTAAGTCCTGCACATCCTCTACACTTTTAGAATTTCTAATAATGAGATTTCCAACATTTTCCAAATTTTTATTGAGATCATCAACTTGGAAGTTGAGCAATGGGTATGTCTCCTTGATTTGTCTAATTAAAGACATCATTATGATCACAATCTTCAGTGGATTAAGAGAGTAAGTAAGAAAGTTTGCTTCCGGCTCTTCATATAATAGACTCTTAAATGTTTCAATCAGTTCAAAAGCTTTCTTATAGTCAATGTAAGGCAAGAATTTGTCTAAAATAAAGAATCTCTCTTCTCAATTGTTTATCTTCTATTGTTCATTGTTAGTTGGAAAAGAGGGCAAATGTTGGAAATCAAATGTTTGTAAAATTAAAAGGCTATGAACTTACATTATTGTTCTGGTAGTCGATCTTGAAGGCATAAATAATAGAATCTATCGATATTTGAACATTTCCTAGAACTGCATTTTGATATTCTCTATAAAGGTAGAAAGCTATATGCATTTTATTCATTATTATAGCATTTGAGAATCAGTCAGACACTATTTCTTGAACGTCATATCTGTTTCCTTTGGATTTAATCATATACTCTTGTTCTTCATCTAACCTTTGAGATCTGTTTGTTTTCTCTAAAATTGTGGATCTTTGTCTCTGCACCTTAGACTTGATGTCTTCAAATATGTATGAAGAGTACCTTTTTGGATGGAGGCACTTTTTCAATCATAATTCGAATAAATTCATATGCTCTGTTTGCACAAGAAGTTTAAATAGTCTATAGTTGGAAGGTATTGGCTCAGTAAGATCGTCATAAAGCACATGAATAAGTTCGAAGACATCTTCATGGCCTAAGAGATCAATAGCTATAGAGATTATGTCTGATTTTTCCAAAAATTTTGAATAAAAATCCATCCTGGCAATCTTGGCAGAAGTCTTTTTGGGGCTGTTGCTAACCATTTTCTCCATCTTCAAAGTGACTCTACTTTTGACTAGAGGAAACTCTGCAGATTCAGAATCATCCTAAATATTATCTTGATCTTATTCACCTTGGTTTTACTTTGGCCAGGCCCTCTATCACTCAACCCTTTAGTCAGATTTGAAAATGGCATCAGATCTTTCGGATTTTTGAGTTCTGCATGGTCTACATAGATGTTAATTTTATTTATTCGATCTCATAGGCCACATTGTAGATCAGTGAGTCTTTGAGACATGACATACCTTTGTTCATTATTGAGACGTCTACTGATTCTGCTGAAACTATACTTGAGTCTTTTTCCTCTTCTTGTAAATCTTCGAAGTTTTCTGTTGACTGAAGTAAGGTGATGTATCTTCCTCATAATCTTCGAAGAATCAGCTTGTTGGTGTTATCATTTGAAGTTCAAATGAGCTTCTTGATGGCCTAGTTCACATAAGCCTGGAACTTACATCATCTTTGATGTGCATGTCTAAGTAATTTGCAGTGGATTCATCAATTATGTGTTCAAGAACTGTTATCATTTGGGTATCGATAGTATATTCAATTGATTTTAAGATTATAACGGGATCCTAAAGATATCATTCTCTCAAGAATACCGTAGTAAGCAACTCGAAGAATTTTTGATCTTCCTCAATGGTTATAAAATCATCAAAGTCAATTCTATTGTTAATTATTGTTGTCTTGAAGATATTCTGTTTGTTCTTAGACACCCCTAAATTAATTGTTTGAGCAATACATTAGTTTAGACTTACCTGCCAAAAATATGCATAGGTATACGTTCCCTCTGATATCAAAGTCTAGGTCTAAAAAATAAATTACATCATTAATGATACAGTACACTCAATGTTGATAAGAGTATTTTTAGATTTGGTCAGAAATGAAGAAATTTGCTAATTTCTTCCGATAATCATGACAACATTGTTTATGTGCTTACTTGTAATCTCTTCAGTCTCATTATTAGGAGTCTGAATTAGCTTATCATTGTCAATGTGTTCCAAAATAACTATGGGAGGTTATCAAAATTTTTAATCAAAATCCTAATCAGAAATAAAAGAATGTGAAGTAAAGAAAAATTAAAAATCTAGCAGGGTTCTTACTTTCTTCTGTACTTTCGATTCTATAGAAAAGTTAGAAATTAAGAGCAATTTTTGAACTAAAAAGCATTTATAAACAAGGAAATGCGATATAATTAGCATAAAATAAGATAAGCAATTCTTGGCTATCAGTAATTTAAATGAACGAAATGAAATATTTTCGAATAAGCTCATTAAAACCTGGTGAAGCCTCTCACAGAGTTTGTTTTTGCTATAAGTAGAAGCATAACCCTAATTATAAAAGAAGGTTTGTATTTTCCAAGAGATAAAACACAAAAAGAAGGAATTCTTTCTCGGTTAAATAGTAAAAAGAGTATGCTTATCCACTAACAATAATTTTACAGTAGAATTGGAGCTATAAGTCATGGTGGAAAACTCTTCCAGTTAATTAAAATCAAATTCTAAGTGTATAAATTGGTGCTTAAGGGTCTCTGGGATTTATTAGACCTAGCTTTATATCTGATCCATTACATCAACACAAAAAGCTCCGAAACTCTAGTTTTATTGAGCAACAAGATTTTAATTAATATCGAACAGCTGTAAAATTTATTCTTACTTCTTTTGCATGTTGTGCTTGGACTCTTCTTGGAAACCCTGGCTGTCTTCACATTCTTCTTCTTGATGAGAATAATCTAATGCAAGGTGAGTAAGTAATTTATTCGGATACAATAATATGATGAATGTAGGCTCAAAGACTATGAACAATTAAAGTAAAAGCCAGAGACAATGGGTTGAATCCGGTTGAAATTATATTCCTTCCACTGCTCAGAAATATTTGAAAAATATTTTTAATTTAATTTTGTTCTCCTTATCTCAAATTTCTGTAATAAAAGAAGGAAAATTGGCAAGGTTTTGTACCTTGTCAAGTCGTGCGAATGATCAAGGAGATATTTGAACTTACTAAGCCATGCCTATTTTACAGAAAATTTTCAATCTTGAGCTGAGGCAAGTCTTAATATTATATTTTAAGAATTAGAAGGCTTATTTGACCAACCTATGAGTAAGTAAAGTCACAAACTAATTGTGGATACAGCCCTCGATATTGATTTGGTCATAAAGTTTATTTAAGAAGCTAGTATCATATAAATATGAAAGACAATAATAGAAAATGTTATCTAAGGCGATAAAGTAAACTTTCATGTGATATATTTTGATGGGTAATAACCTAGCTCGTGTCTATAAACATTTTAGGTAGACCCTGATATGAAGAACTTGAAATATAATATGATATTGATTAAGAAAACAGACTTACCTCTCTTGGAATCCTCTTCACTATCCATATTTTATAAATAATATTTTTCCTCTATTAATTTATAGTGCATTGGGGTTTTGGGGTTTTGGGGTTTTGGGG